AGAGAGCTTTTTATATATAGATTAGAAGATCTAACTCTATCTATTAAGCTTATTATAATAAACTCTAGTTCTATAGAAATAGATAAAAAACTAGCTTAACTAGAGTAAGCGCTAAAAAGACTAAGAGATAAACTATCTAAATTAGTAGCTTTTTTTTAATAATTAACGTAGCTATAAGATTAGCTAGTAGCTAAATTCTCTAGAACGCGCTATAGTAGAAAAGTTATAGATAAAGAGTCTAAGCGCTTTCTTTCTATAAATATCTATTAACTATTAAAATACTCTAAGAATAAAAGTAAGCAGCTTACTTAGCTTAGTAATTAACTAGAGAGTAATAGCGTAGATAGCGTAAATATAGTAATTATAGACTTAGTTAATAAGTAAGCTTAGATTAACTTTTATAAAACTTACCTCTTTAGTTTTTAAAAAGACTAGAATAATTAAGCTAGCTATAAAACTATAAACTTTATTATTATAACTACTACGCTTAGTAAGTATAAGCTAAAGACTACTTACTAATACTATAATAATCTCTAAGAGCTATCTAGGTTATAGAAATAACTAATCTAGTATCTAATATATACGCTTTTTAAAGATACCTCTAAGAAAGAAATTAATTAGCTAAGTAAGAAAAGAACTTAGATAAAAATCTATAGATTATAAGCCTAAGATTAGCTACTTCTATTAAAATAGGTATAAACTTATAAGTATAATTAGAATAGCTATCTTCTTAAATATAAAGCTTAAATTATAGTTTATAGTAATCTCTAGAAGAAGAACTTAATTAACTCTACTTATATAGTAATACTTACTATAAAGTTCTTCTACACTATAATAGTAATTACTACTTAGAGTAATTTAGAGATTAAATAGTTTAATATTATAGAAGTATTTCTTAACGTAAAAATTATAGTAGAGAATCTAGTAATTTATAAAATACTAGATAGCTTTAGAAAGCTAGAATTATATATATAGCTTAACTACGCGCTCTATAGATTATAAGACTCTCTACTATTATAGTATAAGAAGTTCTTAGAAACACTAAAGGCTATTAGTATAATAGCTTCTTAAGAAGAGCTTTACCTCTTTTTTAATTAAGAATAAAGAATTCTTATTCTCTTCTATATTAATAATATTTTATTACTCTATTATAAGAGTATAAAGTAACGTATAATAGCTATATAGGCTAAGATCTCTAGTAAGTATAAGATCTAAGATTAGAGAGATATAGAGTAGTTTTTTAGTATTTATATAATTAGAGACTAATATCTAAAGATAATTATACTTATTTATAATATATATATAGATAAGATGCTTAAGAAGTTTAAGCTTAGAGATAGATTTTTCTCTTTAACGCCTTTACTATTAAAGAAGCTAATTAAGAATACTAGAAAAGTAACTAAGCCTAAGATTAAAAGATACTAGAAAATAGTTAGCTTTATACTTTATATAGTAATTATACTCTAACTAGATATAGTATACACTATCTTAAAGCTCTTATACTTTCTTATAAACTTAAGTAATAAGTATAAGAAGGCTATAAAGTAAGTAATTATATATCTCTACTATACTTACTTTAATATAATTTAGTATAGTAACTATAATAGGCCTAATCTAATAATTACTAGAGACGTATTTTTTACTAATAACCTAGAGACCTACTAATTATCTTATAAATATATTACTATATTATATAAAGGCGTAATCTTCTAAAAAGCTATAAGATAGAGTATAGTTACTACCTCTACTATAGAAGTAGAGCTACTAGCTCTTAAGTATACTACTAAGAAAGCTATAGCGCTTAGGCACTTTCTTAAAGAGCTAGCGCTTAATCTTAGAGAACTCTAGACTATCTAGTATAATAATTAGTAGATAATTAGGCTAGTTATTAAAAAGAATAAGTATATTAATACTTAGCTTAAGTATATTAATATCTAGAATATATAGCTATAGTAGAAATATACTAAAGAATTATTTAAGATTAAGTATTTAGAGACTATAATTATACCTATAGATAGATTAACTAAATTACTTACTTAATAATAGTTTAAAAAGTTTAAATAGCTACTTAACTTGCAAGATTTATAATATTTAATTCTTAAGAAGTAGATAGAGTAGAGAGATTTTTATTTAGACTACTACTATAAAGATTAATTATATTTAAGCTAGATCTTAGTTACTCTAACTAGCGCTTAGTTATAAAGAAGTAATTACTAATAATTAACGCAAGCATAAAAGTAGATAAATTACTAAACTTTTCTACTAGACTAACCTATATAGCTATCTACTTACTAACTACTATAGCGCTAATTTCTCTAATTATAACTCTTATAGTTATTCTTATTAAAGGCTAGCTTACTATTTTAGCTATTTTTAAAGTTCTTAACCTAAGCTTATAAATAAGTAGTCTTAGTAGCTTAAGTCTATATATAAATTTTAAGCTATATCTAATTATACTTAGCACGTAGTAGCACTTCTACGTACTTAGTCTTAGCTAGCTAACGCTAAGTATAGTAATAGAACCTATTACTTATAATACTAGATATAAAGCTATTAGACTAGTAACTATATAGCTAAGAATTATAATACTAAGAATAATTATTATGTAGCTAAGACTAATAATTACACTACTAAGACTAGTAGTTATACTACTAAAACTAATAATAACTATACTAATTTTACTACTAATTCTATAGTAGCTAATTTCTAAATTAAAAAGTCTATAGCTAGAAAGTTAGTAGTAGTAGCTACTAGAATAAGCTCTAATAATAATAGCTTAAGTATTATAGTATTAGATTAAAGGCTATAAGTAGATAACTCTAAGTAGAAAGCGTAGGTAAAGCTATCTAGCTACTACTTATATTAATCTTTTTTATTCTCTTACTTAGTATTATAAACTTACTATAAGCACTACGTTAATTAGAGTTCTAAAGAGTTATAAGTAAAGTACCTTTTAAGCTCTTCTTACTTAAGAACTTAGAAGTTCTATCTAATAATTTAGCTAGTATCTTAGAACTACTCTTAGCTTCTTTTTTCTACTTCTTATAAGTGTAAAGATCTTAGTAAAGCTACTTATAATACTTTTAAGTATTCTTAGTACTTTAGCGCTATTATTAAGTTAGTAAAGAATTAAAAAGAACTAAAGAGAAGAGAATTATAAACTTACTTTAGAACTATAGTAATTTACTAGACTTATAAAGTAATTATATAGATCTTAATTAGTAAAATAATAATTATAAAAGTTATAGAATAAATAATACGTAACCTAATAAAGTTACTTAAAATAATTAGCTTTCTAAATATTATTAAGAAGCTACTAATAAATATAATACTTATACTTAAAAAGTTAAAAAGCGTTATAGTTAGGTAAAACTCTAACTTACTTACGTAGATAACTAGTGTACGCTAGGTATAGATAATCTAGAAAAGTTTTAGATATAAAAGTTTTAGCTTTAGACTTCTTATAAAAGTAACTATAACTATAACTATTACTTAGAGACGCTTACTTCTCTTAATCTTAAGCGCTTTAGTTTCTAATATAGTTAGATTACTAAAGGCCTAAATTCTAAGTCTAGAAAGTATTATTAGTAATAAAGATACTACTTTTAGAGATAGGCTTAATAGTCTTTTAGATATTCTTATTATTAAGATTATTAAACTAAAGAGCTTTATAATCTAAGTAGGTATACTTAGTGTATAACTCTAATTACTTATAACTCTTATAGAGGTTATTATTACTAAAGCTACTAGTTACTTTAAAGCTCTAATCTAGTTAATTATTAGAATTTATAAAGCTTTAAGATAGTTAAGTAGTAGAAGCCTAATTATCTTAAGTAAAGCTACTAGAGAATAGGCTATTAGCTACTATTATTCTAGAAAGAGAAAGTAGAATTTAAGTAGTAGCGTCTTTAAGTTAAGTATAGTAAAAAAGTTAAGTACTTAACTATAGAGCGCTATTAAGTAGAGCGCTATTACACTAAGCGCTATTATACTAAGTACTAGCTTATATATTATAATTACTACTACTAGAGGTATTATAATTAGAGCGTAGAACGCTATTATAGTAAAAGCTAGAGTACTAATACTTATAGCTAGAGTTAGAGTTAGAAGTTAGATTATTAGACTAAATTATAATAGTTAGCTATTAATTTAAGTATAAAAGTAAGAACTTACTATAGTAATAGAGAGAATAAAAAAGTAAGTAGAGTAGTATATTAAGTAGAGTAGAGAATTAAGCGTAGAGCTTAAAGGCGCTAAGGCTTAAAAGCTAAGAATCTTAAGTAGATAAGTTAATTAGATAGATAGCTTATTAGCTTAAGCGTCTTAATAATATAAAAGTAAATAATTATAGTAGAGAAGAAAAGAATTAGAGAACTTATTATTATAAAGTTTCTAATTCTAGTCTAAGCGCGTACCTACGTAGAAAGCTAGCGTAGCTTATTAAGCTATTAATTACGCTATAAACTTTATCTAGAAAAGATTAAAAGCCTAGATCTTACTATTAAAATTATCTTTTACTAGTTAAATGCTTAGATTTCTATAGCTATTAGCTATATTCTAGACTATTATAAAGTAATTTTTAAACTAAGAAGGTTAATTTCTAGACTATTAGGCCTTATTTAAATAAGTAAGAGCTTACTACTATTAGTATTAAATATAATTAAACGCTTAATTAGGCTATAACTTACTACTACGCTTTAAATTCTTAAGCCTAAACTCTGCTAAAGTATACTAATTATAGTAGATTTAATAGAATTAATTTTAGTAGAGTAGATTAATACTTTTACTACTCTAGAGAGTATATTAAAGTTAGAGAGTAGTTATAATTATTTAATTATAAATATGTAATTACTTAGCTCTTAAGTATATAGCTAGAGATTTTATTTTAACTTTTTTTTGTAGTAGATTAATTATAATATACTTAATTATCTCTAATTATTAATTATCTCTAGCTCTAACATTAGGGTATTGGGAACAACACGTATCGCGAATTTCCACGAATGGTAGGAGAGACAAGTGGCAAGAACTTTACTCTCCTTCATCCAACGGCGGATGTCCAATCTGCGGTGAAGCACGTCGTTCGCGCTTCGTTCGAGTACCAGGGTCAAAAGTGTTCGGCAACGTCTCGCCTGTACCTTCCAGAGTCTCGATCGAAGGAGTTCATCGACACGTTGGTCGATGATGTGAAGGGTATTACTCAGGGTAACCCACACGAAGATCTCGCCGCCTTCATGGGCCCAGTCATTCACCGTCGTTCATTCGAAAAGATCAAGGCTGTCATCGACGAAAGTAATCAGGATTCTTCGCTCAAGCTTCTGGTTGGTGGTACTTATGATGACTCTGAAGGCTTTTACATCAAGCCAACCGTCTACCTCGCAGACTCGCCAGACCACAAGCTTTTCAACTATGAAATCTTCGGTCCTGTACTCGCAATATACGTCTACCCTGATGCGGAGTGGAACCAGGTTTTAGAGAAGGTTGATCAAGCTGGTGGTAATTTCGCGCTCACGGGTGCTGTTTTCGCCAACTCTCGTATCGCTATCCGTGAGGCGGAAGACGCGCTACGCTACTCTGCTGGCAACTTCTATATCAGTGAGTCGTACCGGAACAGCGCTCAGCGCGAAAGCTAACGAGCCATCAGACTGCAAGACCACCGCCGCGCTCATTGGCCAGCAGAGCTTCGGCGGAAGTCGCGCAAGTGGAACCAACGACAAGGCAGGCTCTTCGAACCCAATGTTTCGGTTTGTCTCTCCACGGCAAATCAAGGAGGAGTTTTTCCCGGTCGTTGACTACCGTTACCCTTCAAACAGCTGATTTGCATGCCGCTGATTTCAGGGACTGTGACACGCGTTTGCAGGCGGAGGTCTTCCATTGCCGGAAAGCATGCTTCAAGTAGAGACTTTAGCAGTTCAGGCGTGCGATTTCGAATGCACTCTCCGCCATAGCGGGATGAGCTTTCCATAGCAACTCCGTACATACCTTCCTTTGACATCTTACCGTGCGGTGACGCTGCGACGCGTGCGCCTGCCCAGGTCGCGGCTGCGGGCTAAGGGTGCATGATGACCAAGCAGACCCACTTTGCATCTTAGCGTCGGGCGCGTCCTGATCACAGCCGCCCGATGCCGCGCTGTGGCCAGGCCAGCACACTCAAACCTCAGCTTCAAGACAGTTCGGCGACCGCCCATCCAGTGCCGTTAGTCAACAAACATACGATTACGCGTCAAGCACACAGCTACGCGTTGAGCATCAGTGAGAGTTGGTTAGAGGAGGCCATGGCGCGACCGCACGATTCGATCGTCATTTCTAGAACACGTTACTTACTATACACCTCCAGCATTCGCGACACAATACGTTCTTTCTTAATCATCTCTTCACTCTGAGGATTGGGTGCCTCATTTCGGCTTGCATCACCGAGAGATGTGTTACTTTGGCATAACACAGTATGTGTGAAGGAGGGACATGCGCGTCCACTTCCAATTGTTACCGCGGAGATGTTCTGAGCGTTTCTGGTGGGTACCATTTCTCCTGAATCAGATTCTACTGATACCTGAGCTACTGACACAGATCTCACATGTGGCAAGATCAGAGAGAGCTATGGTATTGCCCATGAGGTCTTGACCAAAGCCTTAATTGTCTCGGCTCGTGATCGGGGCTTGTATCAGGTGGCTTGTCCGCCAGAGATATGTCTCTCAAAAGCAAGCCTTGATAAAAAGAGTGAACTATTTAATGTACGACCTCTTACAGGGCAGAGGCTTGACTTTACCAATACAAAGAGATCCAGCTTTGTTTACCGAAGACAACTAGCTCGCCCCTACAACTCCCAATCTCATCACCGATACCACTTGAACCCCTGGGCTACTCCACTCGCACACAGCAGGTCTACTCATCCAGACGCGAACATGCTTCCTGATCACCTCAACGGATCCTTCAGGCGATACAAGAAGGATACAGACTACTTCGTTACATGGCTGGCCGTGACTGCGGGAAGCTCTGGTTTTCATCTTCAAGAGAACTCTGATACGTCCGACTCTCCTCAACCAGCCGCTCGTCAAGGCCCACGGCTGAAGGGAAAGGCTAGAAAAGAAGCCCGTGAACGGGAGAAATCGGTAACACACAGATCTTCACAGAACCTTACCACGCACCAGCTCATGGAGTGCGCGAAGCATATTGCATCTACGAAACCGTCGCCATTTCATGTACCCCGTTCTGTGTATGATGCGTTATCAAATGCCCTGGTTGCTCGCGTGGAGTGCTCTACCTGGTTCAAACTGCAAGAAAAGTGTTCGGGTAATGCAGACCTCCAAAGAAGCAACGATACGCACAGCCACTTCAACGAGACGTTAGAAACTGTACGTAAGCTGCTTCAGCCATTTGTCCAGCGTTCGGCCAAGTCGCAACGCGCTACAAAGTCCGTATTAGCTGCTGCGCCGGGGTCTAAGAATACCTTTGGGGTGCTCGAACGGACGGGTATATCCGACAAGGACGAGGACGATCAAGAGGAGATTCCACTAGCACCCAAACCAGCGCCCAAGCCAGCGTCAGACTCCAAGAACCTTCCCGGGGAGACTTTGTATCAACTTGATTCAAAGGGTGATACGCTGGTGGCCATCCATTGCTTGCTCGAAGACTTCTTTGAGCTCCGTCTCACTGTTCGACATAACTGGAAAATCTTCATGGACACAAAAGGAGCCCTCGCCGACCTCATGTCCACTGCCGCCATGACACAATGTGCAAACGAGGTTGCTTGTACACTTGCACGTGATTTCACGGAGAAATTTCCAGACATCAAATCCATGGGTGAGATTTTGATGTTGCTAGTTGAGCCAGAAGTAGAAGTAGGCCTGCACATCCCTACTGAGCCTACGACAAGACCGGAAGATGAACACACAATCTCAACAGCCGACACATCAGCGCCACAACAGACTGAGTATCATAAGTTGGCCGCGGAAATACTCCAGCACACCTACCTCAAAACGTTCCAATTTACGGAGGATTCTAGCGCGCTCGAGGGAATACAGAACTGTCCGCGTATCAACCTTGCTGAGGCCTCGGACGAGTTTAAAGAGTATAAGCGTCGGGGTGATGAGGCCATGACTCCGCTCGACAGGCTTGAAGGATGTTTGCGCACCCTCAAGAGCATACACTCAAAGGCAGATGTCAGTCGACAGAAGCTACTCCCTGACGCTGATAGCTTTACCCGCATGTGGTATGACGCTCTCACCCCAGCATCTGGTGCTATCAAGCCTGGTGTTGAGCAAGTTATGGTAACACAGATGTTCCTGGACGTACTGACAGCAACGCATCTCCAGGATGGCGGCTCTTGGCTTAATAGCCGAATCGATGAAGTGTTCGAAGTGATCTTCGATACTGACATGGCTCTTCTCGACTTACACAAAGAGCCTCGTCCTAAGGATGCGACAGCGGATACCCTTACTCTTTCCGCGTGGCCACACATCCCAGGTAAAGGTGCTGCGAACCTTGGAGACGCCACTGATTTCTTGAACGTATATCTCGGGCTCAACCCCGTCTGGGCTGGTCTTCGACTACTCTACCGCTTTATTGGGGTCAAGCTGCAAGAGACTGACCAATTACTTGTGCAGGGGCCAATCTCTTCAGCTGCACATCTCCAAAATGCGCTCTTGCAGCTCCGCCATTCCAATGATCCGACTAAAGCAATCCTTGAGAAAGGATGGGAGATGCTCGATATAGCGATGGGACATTTTGGAAAGAAGAAGATCTTTTGTGCATCAGACGTACCAAAGACTGTGAAAGACTGCTCCGCACGAGCTCGGCTAGCAATGGGTGCCAAGGCTCATGACTTTGCGAGGAACAGGCGCCGCCTGGACAGAGATACACGACCCTTGAAGCCGCGTTCCATTGACCTTTCAATTCCCATGCTACGCGCCATCATGTACAATTACCAGCACCAGCAAACCATGGGCGGGTCGATGATCAATGCTTACGAAAGTCGCATTATACAAGCAATGGATCGTACATTATCCACCATCGAGCACATACAAGTTGACTTCAGAAGATCGAATCCAGAGAACTACCTGGGGATATTCCGCATGCTTCTGTCGCTCGATCTAGCTAACTGTATGTTCAACTACGCCAAATCAGCGAGATTGTGCTCGCAGATGCTTCAGGAAGCATTGAATGTACTACATGGAGAGCGCAGCAATCGGCATCCTTGCCTTCTCCCGGCCGATTTACTGGAAGCAGAAAAGGCTGCACTACACGCCGCCAGAAAAGATATCGACACTGGCCTGGTAGTTTCGAAACACATGGAGCATATAGCAGAGGTCTTTGTTCAGTACAAGGATCGGTATGGGGGCTTCAAGGAGGAGCTAGAAGGACGGTGTCGGTAAGCAGTCACTTCCGCTACCAGGCGAAGTTTGGTTAACGTGGATACAGGAAACTCCATCTCCCATATCCCAGCGCCATCTCGCCGCCCGAATTCAGTCGCCCTATACACCGTGACGAGATTCGTCGGCAGATGAGGACTGACCGCATGTCTACTTCTCACCTCCTCTCTTTACGGGAGAGTGGTGAGCCGGAGAATTGCCCTACGGAGCTTGAGGACTGGATGCTGAAGAAGAATGAGACACAAGGAGAGGACAAAGACAACACGTGATGCTATTGTGGGGGAAGTAGTAGGGAATGAACATGTGCATGATAGGGTCAATCGATATCAGCCGCTTCAGTGAATGGACTGAGTTGTACTTACAATACCCTGAGTGCACTGAGCTTCACTCGTGACACATCCGTTTACTTTGCACAGCCCCCTCTTCCCCATAGCCCAAGAGCACCCTTTTCTAGTCTCCCCCCTTCCATAAAGCTCCAGAAACTCACCGCGGTTTCCATTCTCCATCTCAACCACACTCGTATTTGCTCAACCCGCTAGAGCAAACAATGATGGATACACTGTACGTATGAACCCTTCTGGTGCTCGAAATATATACTCATTACTGCAGTACCGCATCTACCGTCGCCCTCTTTACCGCCGCCGTCCCACTTCTCATCTCGCGTCTCATCATGAGGTCACCAGTCAACATCAAGAACTGGAGTCCCTTCAAGATCGACGCGCTCGGTATTGTAACGCTCCTGGGCGCCGACGCGGTCCGCAAGTCCCTTGGCCGCCTCGTCTACTCACCTTTCGAATATCTTCCTCTCCTCGCTGGTCACATCTTCGCCGATAACTCAGTCATGGAACCGATTCCAGGCTTTGAACTATACAACATCACCGAAGGCATTAAGGCAACCGATCTAAGCGCTTGGTTTACACGCTGGCTGTCGTGTCAGAAGCTGTCGTACAACTCTACGCGGCTTGAGATTCAATCTGATCATCGTGTTCCTAGACATCCGGCTGAGCAGTGGGTTGGATTTTGGTTAGCTTTCTTAGTGAACACTTTCTTGATCATCTGGCCGGTGCTGATACAAGACTGGTATGGTCTCGCTGCTTCACTCAGTCTTGTCGCTCTGGTTTTTGTTCGAGTCTGCATTCTCTCCGACTTCCGCGGTAGCATCGACGAAGCTATCAAGCAGTTGGACAACCAGGCGACAAAGAAGAAAGAAGTCAAGCTCTTCATCACCGTGCCAAACGGTAAGCGTCTGACTGTCATTACCACGACTGACATCGCGCAAGATGTTCTGCTCACCGAAGCTCGCCCAGCCTCCGAGAAACTCCACCTGGTGAGCCGTGCTATCTGCTGGCTAGCTTTCGGTGTCCACGCTGTCACGCTAGGCATGGCCTGCCTTGCTGTCCAACTCCTGATCATCACAATCACACTGGTCTCGTCTGTCGCGATGATACAGGGCTGGTTTTCGGAAGGGTCGAACAGTGATGAAACCTGCATTGGTAACCGTCTGTCCATTACCCAGAGCCACGACGGGAGCGCTGGTAGCAACGCTAGCCAGTATGTGTGTCTTGAGATGACCGAAGCGGAGGAGCAGAACATGGTCGCGTGGTCTTTCTTCCCAACGCAGCACAACAAGCTTTGGCTACCGACGTATGAGAAGTTCAAGGAGGACTTCAAGGCGACACGTGATCCAAAGATATTGGGATCATGGAAGAAGCGTATGCAACTAGCGCATGCGAACGCCAATTCTGGGCAGCAAACACAGTAAGAGGCATGTTTCCTGCTTCATCTGAGCTGTAGGGTACGAGATGCGAAGGTGCATCCGATTTCGTGGTTGTTGTAGGTAGAAGCGTTGAGCATGACAGGCGCGACTGGCTTCGTGCGTCCCGTTGCACCTGCCTCATGAGACGCTCTACCCTAATGTTTATAGAACTACAATACCAACCCCAATGCTCCTATCACATTTTTGATATGTGACAACATCTTTATGCCTTTGCGCACAGTTAGAAACGAGCCGCAGCGGCTAACAAGGTCGACGACTGCTTGCACGTCGCCGAACTGATCTCTAGGAAGGCCTGCGACTGCGGCGAGCTCTTTCAGCTGCAGTGGCCGGAAGGCAAGCGTGATCGACCGAAGAATGTTTTCACAGTACTCTGTAGTCTCGGCATCTTGAGCCGCTATCTGCAGCATCATTCGCTCGTAAAGCGGGTTGAGTTCTGACAGCAGTGTCCGCAGCATCTTCTTATCTTCTCTATATTGCGGCGTAGTTCAGCACTGCGCATTCCTGAGATTGTTGTACTGCAGTTGGGTTAACCTTGACCTATTTGAGCTTCTGCGTCCTGATTGAGTGAAGTCAATTGAAACCCTTGTGGGCATCTCGGATGACGACCAACACAACTACCCTACTTGTATGACGGAAACCCTAGTAGGCCGGGAAGACTTGATATAAGATACAGTATCTCGCGTGAATGCTTGCTGGCCTTTCTCTCTTATTGGCTAGTTCCGGCCGACCGGGTTTTCCGCTACACGGGGAGGGAGGGTTAGCTTCTATCCAAGGGAGCAGAAGATCGGTGTTTTGTGCCGCAACATCTCTGCTTGTGAGGCATGCTTCGAATATGAAAGGAGCCTGCTGGTCCTCTCGTTATTGTAGCCATCATCCCGTGCTTGTTGTCTGCAGCTTCTCATTCGTCCGGCTATAGTGTAGGCAACAGCATGCTCCTCCCGAACCTGACTGCCTTAGCAACTCTTCTCACAATCATCACTGCCACGCCTACCCCTCCAGAGAAGAAGAGCGCGGATAACGGAACCTTTGAAGCGCTTGTCAAATACGAAGTCACTTGCCGCAGCGGAGGTAACACCCTACCACGCTGCTACGAAGGAGGCTCGGCTGGCTGTCACTGCACTAGCAAAAGAGTGTACGACTGCCAGAATGCAGAGTGTAGAGAATACTGCAGGTGCACCGAGTATGCGCTCCCAATCCTCCACACGCCCACTGCTGCTACCCATCAGAGCCACTCCTTGTCTTATCTTTTTCGACCTCTGTAAACATAACTCTAACAGTGATTACAGAGCCTACTACCCCCAATGCCCCCACTGCCCCTCCTAGGTTAGAATCGCCTCCGCCAGATACCACTCCGCATGAGGACTTCGACGTCGATATCATCTGGGAGAACGTGGATATTCGTAGCGATTTTAGATCGATGCGTAAGAGTTCGCGGGGACCGATTGGGCGCATTCTGGTCGACTTTGGAAAAGTGCTGGAGAGTGGGATGTTTGAGGTGATTAGTGTGAATGCGAGTAAGCATATGTTCTGTGCGGTGGTGGCCTGTCAGAAGAATAGAGATGAGGGAGTCGATGATCTATTGTGGACTGTGCTCTAGGGGCTGTTTGCGTGTTCGGTTGTTGTGGCTCTCTCGCTCGTAGTCACAAATATGATCTGTTTACATGACATATCTCTGATGTATACGTGCTCGTCCTGACAACCACAACTTACGATATTCCTAGCGCACGCCCGAAGGCGCCTACTACCTAGGTATCAAGCGCAATCTGCGCCCACTACGCATCAGTTCTGCGTATTGCTGCTTCTTTTCGCATCGCAAGCTTTGTGTCTTTCCTTTGTTTGTTGTGATGGTGTCGCTATCTGGTGCCTGTACGCATCTCGTGCAGGCGCTATCAAGCTGCTTGCTCAGTGTCAGCCAAACAAGGTAGCAGTGTATATCATGCTGCACGTTCAATTCCATCCGAAGGGCAACCGCAACGGCAAGTTACCAACGACATTATGCAGCACATACCCTTACCCCAGAACCCGACAGTTGGCTACATCGAAGTGCCTTGCCTGACCGATCAGGAGTACGACGGAGGGGATCTCGAGACCTTTCCCACACGACAAGGATGGTCTAGCAGGACTGCTGTTCAATGGAAAGCGCTGTTCGACAATCCTACCGAGGATTTCATCGCCTTCATGCAACTTTGGCGATACTTCGGATACATACGCTCGATACTGGAGTTTGCGACTTTGCAAAGCCTCACAAGCCTGACGGCGGATGGAATAAGGGTGGTCGACACTACTGATCTGGCCACTCGAACTGACGATCATATCAGAGCGACTGCAGGGGGCTACGAGACTCCGGATGCAGACTTTCTATCGCGTTTGAACCGGTCGACTAGACTGTTTCGTAAACTGGAGACTACTGTTAACCCCAAGATTTCGTGCGAAACGTGGACGACCGAAAGCAGCTCGAGGAGAATATCTTTGTACCAGTTCATGATCACCTTCAACTTCACTGATCCGCTTCCTTCCGATATCATTGATTCGATCTGGTTACTTCATGACTTTGTCACTGCCATTCGCGAAAACTTCCCACCCGCGTTGGTAGTTCAACAATGGCCGAACTCGGCAGGAAATGACAGAAACAACTGCGAATATTTGCCCGCCATGTACAACCCGGGGGAAATCAACCAAAGAAGGATGCTGAATAGTGGTTGGTGTCCATATCGGGTACGAGAGTGTGGCTCACGGATGACGATGACGGATTTGGTCCATGTCGCGAATATGCAGAGACCAGACACCCTTAACCATTGGCTTTGCACATCTGAGGCCTGTCGCTTTACGTGCATCGACAATGCTGATTACCAGACTCAACATGCAGCAGGCTGCACTGGATGCTCCTTTGTGGCTGCAAATGTCGAGAAGATGAGTGTGATTTTGGAAACAGATTCTTACCCAGTCATTGATATGTATGGGCCCATCACGTCCGAGGGCACGATGTGCTTGAGTCCTGTTGAAAGGCCAGGTGCAGCAACTGCTCTGATACCATATGTTGCCATCTCGCACGTTTGGTCGGACGGACTAGGCAACCCTCACGAAAATTCGATACCGTCTTGTCAGCTCAGCAAGTTGGGTGAGCTAGTAAGAAATGTACCTCATGCACCTCACCTGGGTCCATACTCGTCCTTCTGGTTGGATACGATCTGTTGTCCAGTTCAAGATGGTTCGAATATACAGCAGATGGCCATCGCTAAGATGAAGGCTACATATGAGAGAGCGTCAGCCGTCTTAGTGTTAGATTCGTCGTTGTTGATACGCACGACGGACACTCTTAGCGACGTTGAGATTTTGTCTCGGATCTTGTGTAGCAGATGGACTAGTCGCTTGTGGACGTTCCAAGAAGGCGCCCTTGCCCAGAGGTTGTTCATACAATTTGCGAATGGCCCATACGACCTGCACCTGGGGCTTGACAAATTGATGACGAGCGTAATTCCAAGCATACGGCTGGTAGCGCAGCGATCCATTCTCAATCAGGTGAAACATCTGCTTTATCGAGCACCACCCCCGGACCAAGTGCGACAGTTATCGACTTTAGCGAATAGCGTATGCTACCGAGACACAAGTGTCCTCTCGGATGAACCATTGTGCTTAGCTAATTTGCTACGCCTCGAAACTCACAGGTTAAGTCAAATTTTAGCATCCGATCCGCAAGCTAGGATGATAGCTTTCTGGAGACTGCTCTCAAATGTACCTTTGGATTTCGCTTTCGATGGCCACCCGAAGTTATCTCAGCCAGGCTTTCAATGGGCTCCGAAATCTTTACTGCAGTGGCGGTATCCGCTTATGAAAAGCGTGAGCCCTGCTCTTCATCCTCGGAGCGCAGAAATAACAAGCATGGGTTTGTTGTTCAATGCACCAGGTATTGCCGTGGACCCGAATCGCAGGAGCGAAATACCCGCAGATTTCTACCTCCGAACCGCTAGAAATAGATGGGTCTTTGTGCATGCCTCGGATAAGCTCCCGAACCACGACAGTAGTTCAGGACCGCTGCTGATGATATGCTTGAACGAACTTCAGGAAGACGTCATAGATTCGACTCCCGCAGTGCTGGTCGAACTGCTCGATCGTGGTATAGTTGGTAATCTAATCGTGCGCCTTATCAAGCCGGTATTGACACGCATTGTGTGGGCGGAACATGTTGATGCCTTCGTAAACGGAGCAACCGATACATCTGTTATAAGTAACGAGGCAGAAGAGCTGGGTTGGGCGTGGTGGTATCTACAGTGATTACAATATTATCTTCTTTTTTGCATAACACTCATTCGGGTGGTGAGTAGTATGTTGGTGGTGAAGAAGGTAGCGTCGTAGTTGGCTGAACAAAGACGCGATGGACAGGTACAAGCAAGAAGCACGGGCCGCCTAGACCGTGGACATCCCTGTCATGACGGCGCAGCTGTCAGTCGAGGTCCGCCATCGTCACCAACCCTCAACTGGAGTTTGCTGCTATTTCAGCTGTCTTGGGGGCCAATTATTAGCAGTCGCCATGCCGATTGACCGCCGTACCCGATGAGCTGCCTACGAACCCGCAGCCCGCGCCGCCCAGCCTCCCTACCATGTCCGCGTCGAACATCCGGGTATTCGTACAATGGAAGGACTCTACCGTGTTCGCCGGCGAAGACATAGAATGCACCATTACCTTCAAGAATGTCGCCCCGCCTGAGGGACGCGACCGCTCCCCGGTCCGGAGGCAGAACGGCTTTGCGACGGGCGGGGAGAGACAGCGCAAACTACCGCCCGTCCACTCTTCGACGCGCCCCTCGGTATCCCGCAATTCGTCCTTTGCTTCGCAGCTGCCGCCGTCACAGCTTCGCGGACATCGTCCTGCCTTATCACTGCATACACCATCGACAGCTGGAGACCGCCGATCGTCTGTTGCGCCGAGCATCATCCATGCCAACAACACGGGCACACACAAGCATGGAAGATCCGTGTCAATTGTCTCTTTAGGGGCAGATGCGGGAACTGAAGCCAGCCACGAGAGGGGCATACCCATCAGACGCCCGGCAAGAGGGCACGGAAGATCAGCCAGTCTGCAGGTCGTGCCCGGCAGGCCAAACTCATATCCAAGTATGGACAACAGATACAATATACGTCGTTGGCTGACACGATAGCAGTTGCTTCGCCAGGTCATAGATCAGCGACTCATCCATCTCCACTGTCTGGCGAAGCGTCATCCCCACTCGCCCGCGACACCAACGACTTTGCCTTTCCCGCGCGTCAGAACAGGAGACGGCCTGGTGTCACGACCACCCCGAGTACCCCAGCCCTTCCCACTACAGGGCGAAAACCGTCCAACTCCTTCTCCCAGAACTTCAAGTTCCCCGCCGCACCTCCGCCCGACGATGCCACCCATCCGCAGCCTAGTAGCAGCCCTACAAAGCAACCTATACACGTCCGGCGCAACTCCCCACAACCGCCACATGACTACTTACGGTCATCTGGAAGCCACAATCTCGAGGTGCTTTCACCTGTTGCACGGATAATATCTGGGTCGAGCATGAATGACACCCCGCGTAGTAGTGGAGAGTTCTACTCGATGAGCAACAATTCCAACGAGACATTGGCTTCGGAATATGCGGCTCATCCCTCAGCGCGTCTACTACAGCGGCCGATGCATCATCGGCGACCCTCACACTTGGCACCGCCCAATAGGCAGGCTCTCCCGGAGTCGATAATGATGGGCTATGCGCAGATAATGGGTTCCTTCACGCTGGACGGATCCTTGATCAACCAGGCACCTTTCGAAGAGGTAAAGAGGAAGGGAGTAGTAGGCGGCCAGGGTGGAGGTGGTGTAGTGGGTGTAGAGAAGACAAAGCGCGAAAGTGGGCTCTTTGGCGCGCTGGGTTGGGGCAACATAGGAGAGTCGCTGGGTGGACTACTGGGTGCTTCCGAGCCCTCCAGTATCCGAGAGATGCGAGGCGTTGCCAGCTCCAAGACTGTCCCGCTCATCACTACTCCCCAGTCCATTCTGTTCGTCGATTTGCGGCTTGCGCCCGGCGAAAGCCGCAGCTACACGTACAGCTTTACAATACCCCGGGGTCTGCCACCTTCGCATAAGGGGCGGTCGATGAAGGTAGCATACAATCTCATCATTGGCACACAACGCGCGGGATCGACCAAAGAACAACAAGTGAAGCATGTGGACGTTCCGTTTCGGGTGTTTGGCAGCGTGAACAGTATGTTTGGTCTGAGGATACGGGTGATGATATGCTAACCCCTTTGCAGGCCGTGGCGAGATTCTTGGACATGATCTCATGTCTCCGTACATCATATTGCGCGATCAAGCTCGAACAGCCAGCATAGACCCCTCGTCGAGCGCAAAACTTTCCCCTACAAAGAAGGGCGCTTCTTCGAGCAAGACGGAAGAGAATACTTTCAGCGACTTCCTTGAGTATGTCGACAATCTTCTCGATCGGCCTAGGCACAATTCTAGCATGGGCTTGCTTTCACCTACGGGCACAATGCCCGGGCGCTCAACGATTGCTGAAGGGCCCCAGACCATGAAGGAGGCTATTGATACAGCCATCTTGCGCAGCAACTTGACGGGTGCCGCCAATCAGAGCGCCAATCGCTTTGAGATTGCTCGCAGCGGCCGCCGTGTCGCGGTCATCATGTTGGCGCGGCCCTCTTACCGGTTAGGCGAAACAATGTCTGCCGTAATCGACTTTACAGATTCACGCATTCCCTGTTACTCAATACAGATCTCATTGGAGACTTCAGAGAAGGTCGACCCGGCGATAGCGCTTCGCTCGAATGCGTCGATATACCGCGTCACAAAGAAAGTGCACGCATCATTCTCGGAGAACGCGCTGTTTGCGCAAAAGCTCGCCTTCTCGCCTACTATACCACCGAATGCAACACCGGAGTTTATTACCAGCGGCGTCAGTCTTGAGTGGAAGCTCAGAATCGAGTTCATCACTCCGCGACTCACGCATGAGGACGGGGAGGAGACCTCATGGGATGATCTCTTGGAAGAGATATCTAGCGAGGATCGAGGTGTCATATTAGCAGCGGCGCAACGATTGCCTGCCGAGAGCTTTGAAGTGCAGGTACCGATACGGGTTTACGGGGCTGTGAGCGGGGCGCCCGAAGCACCTGATGAACAGGGTCTTCCTGTGTGAAGTTGGCCATACAAATGGCAGCCATTACCACCAGCTCCACGCTGAACCACAACGCAACATTTGGGGCAGAGCACTGATCCCCCGCATCTCGCTACCCAGCTTCTCATCAGCCGCTTACCCTTAGGGGCCATTATAACCTTTTGTACATGACTAGGGATATATGGCATACATATTGGATATTGGGAAGGAAAAAGGGAGCGTGTTGGAAAGCACTTGTAGTATACCAGCTCGTCACTTGAGCAAGTCAGGGTTCTAGGACACAGAGTCCATGGTCGACAGTAATTTCATCTATCCATATTCATTTACGTCCCTTTGTTGTGCTACTCGGTTCAGGTGACACCCTGTAGGTGGAACCAAATACCCTCGCCCACGGCAGAACCATGTTTGACGCAACGAAAAAATGGCCTCCGCTTCCCTCTCCATCACTTTAAATATTTATACTGTCCTCACCTTTCTTTACTTGCTACAAAATTCGAAGCAACACAAATACTTGCTCTACTCAAAATGGCCTCCCTCTACGATATGTTCGACTGGAGGACGGCTTCAACTCAAGAACTCGAAGACCAGATCAAGAAACTACAGCGTGAAGGCGATTTGAGGAAACTGCAGAACACAGTAAGAGATAGCATAAGAGACAGCATCAGAGCGGAAACCCTCAAAGAGGGCATCAGTCTCAAGATCGAGAACGAAGACGGCCTAGTGTACATTTCCCTCCCTTTCTCACTTGCCTAATGGAGGCATGACTAACCCACATATCCTCTTCTAGTTATTTCCGCCCACGCGGCCTTATAATGGGTAATTCAGCACTAAACATCGAGCTGAAGAACAAAGGATACAATGGCAAAATCTACGTTGAACCGGGCGCCTCAAGCTGGTTCACAGGTGGATGGGCCAAAGCGCTCGTTCTGGCGGGAACGGTATATCTATACCGTAACGAACTCCGCATTATCGGCCGAGGCGTGCTAGCTGGAGCGAATCTAGCCATCGAACGATGGGAACAACGTCAGCGTCAGCAAGATGGTGATGTGAAAGGGAAAGAAGTAGAAGAGGAGAAAGAGCAAGGAAAGGAGGAGCAGATGATGCCTGTCACGCCGACTGAAGAGGAAGACATTAACCAAAATGCCTCCATATACCCTCCCCACCCACCACCCGTACAGCCACCCGGCAGCCTGTACGTATTTTCATGTGTGCGGTGTTCTAACCCAGAATCACCTTCACACCCAGCCCCATACGACAGCAGTGGATTCGACGCAGACATGGACACGCCAACCTCACCCCAGAGCCTACGTTGACGTTGGGTCACTTGCTTTGCAGGTTTTTGATTTGATGTAGTCTGCAGACCTGTTCAACTTTTTTGCTCGCATGAGGTGGGAATCAGTGGTCTGTAGTGGAACGCGCGTGAGTGGCCACGGGCATTGGCCATCATAGACGAGGTCACAGACATATGGGGGAAGCAAGACGGGATACATATCACACAGCTCAACTCACTGTACAAACCACGAAAACACAACTCAGCTCATAACCATATCATTGAAGTCATCATGTCTCGAAAAGTGTATGTAGATGTAATCGCAGTCCATCGCCAAGAAAGCCTTCTTCACAATCGAATCGAATCAGGCAGAAAGTGTGTCCACGAAGCCGATCATACTCGCCCGGGACCTTTATGCTGGTCGCTCACAATCCGTCAATCATGCTCCCTTTGTTTCCTTCGTGTCGCTTACAATCCACCGGGTCCGGCAGCCGAGTGTGCGCTGGCTCCGGCGCCGGGGCCCAGGGACGCATGTGTCGCTTCGCGGTGGGCTGCTTCGCGGGCCTCGCGCTCCTTGGTCTCGGACGCGATTTGGTCTTCGGTCTTCTTGTTGCCTCGGGCGATGAGCTTCTCGAGGAGCCCGCCCTTCTTGGGCGTGTCGTGCTTGTCTGAGTCTTCGAATTCTTTTAGGTAGGCGACGCGCTCTGAGGGGGGCATCGAGGCGAGTTCAGAGTCGATTGAGTCGCGGTTCTCTGGTGGAGTGGGTTAGTTGCGGGTCGGGGTAAGGCTGAGGTTGAGAAGTCGGGAAGGCGCGATGTTGGATTGGTGATTCGCGAGGGATAGGTGTAGATTAGGTCATCGAGAACTCGAAGCTTGACTTACCTTCGATAGTGCCGACATTACCAGCGCGGACATCGTCCTCAGCCGTCTTGTTCTTGCTGCTGCCAAGGTGGAGCTTCTCCTTGATCTTGTCCATTTTCAATTGCTTGTTTTAGGTTGTGGGTTGGGGTATCGGGGTACGTGTGTACTGTTGACGTGGATGAATGGCAGAGGCAGGAGTTAGGTGTTTGGTGTGTTGTCTAGGTCGGAGGAGGCGCGCGGGGATGAGGGGTGATGGTAGCTTCAGCCATGCGTGTCACCTACGTCATAGCTTCAACATAGTCCAGCTGCCAGCTGCCCTGTTGGAGGTGGATCTAGTCAAGCGCGATCCATGCACTTCATTTCCAGGTCATGCAGCGAACGCCTTGTAGTGGCTTGGGATTTGGTGGTTCTTCTCCTTATGCTTGGGCTGCATCTGCCTACGTGGTGTCTGACATCAGCCTCACGAGCGGAGCGCGTTGCGGGCACCCTGGGAAGCTGCAGGTGGTAATTATGGCTCTAGCATTGTTGTCCCTGCGTCTCGTATTCGACTTTCGATAATTAGCTCTTAGAATGGCCAGGAGCCATCTACAAGATCATGATTGCGATGCTCCAGCGGTAGACTTCCACAGAAGTCCTTGCATGAAAAACGAAGCATGTACGCGGCTGGGACCACATACATCAAATTCATCATGGTTGACGTCTCCACTTCCCGGATGGAGCTCGTCAGTAGCCCACAGTTCCAACTTCGTGTTGCTACCCTTGTCATGACAATGCATGTCCTTCAGCCCTACGAGCCGATCACCCGGTAACTCTTGGCAGGTGAATTCGGTCTGCAGACACCAGCATCATTCTGCTTGTGCACTCTCAGAACCCTTAGGAGCTTCGCCGGTTGTCAAACGGCAACGGCATCGTTTGGTGAAGACATTCGGATATCGTGGTTGGCCCATGCAACGTTAACGGTCGCTGAACCGTATGCCTTTGAGAATGATTACTATTATATGCGGTTTCGTGTGCTCATATCCAAAATCCCGCCCATTCCCAATCCATGAGTGGTATCTCTAGATGTACGCCAAATCCAAACGCCTTAGTATGACCGCCGCCCAGTATCCAGTGCTGCCCATTAATATTTGTGCTGTGGAAACTGAGGTGTCATTGGTGATACGCCAGAGCGTACTCCAAACTCGCCTGTCGCGTATCCGTCGTCGCTAGCTATGCCGCTCACACTGCGCCCTGTACTACTCTCGGCATCCGCTTCGCGTGGGCCAGGGTATTGCGGCAGCTGTACCTCTCGCCATCTAGGTGTGACTGGCATCATTGACTCGCCGTGCAGCTCTTGTGGCTCATCCGCCATGCTGATAACTGTCTTCTGATCCTGCGGATACGCATGGCCGACGAATTGCTCGTTGACAGGAGACGCAAGCTCAGTCAATGGTGTCCCGTGGAGTTCCTGCGGGCCCACAGCTTTGTGCGGCTGGCTGCCCGCGAGAATGTCGGTGCCTGAACCAACCTCCGATATGTGCTTGCTTGCGAGTTCGTATCGTTGCTCTTTTTGCTGCTTGCCGCGACGCTTCCGGAAGAGAAATATACCAAGTGCGACCAGGGCGAGAGCAGCGATTGCACCGATTACTATGCCGACGATGGCACCTACACCGAGACCCGAGGATGAAGATGAAGCTGGCGTGGCAGTGGTATCGCTCGGAGATTTGATGGTCATGACTTCTGACGCGGGTAGAGGATCAGGAAAGACTGCCTGCGCAACCGTGAAGTTTGCGCGTTCATAGTCCACTATGAGATATGCCTCCTGTAAAAGTGTCCTGCCCAGTGCATATTGTGTATCGTTCGCGGCGCGGCGGATCGGGAAGTAGTTCGTTGCGTTTGTGTAGTACGGGTACGAGGCTTGGAGGTCGAATGCCGCATACGGCAGCTCTATGTTGGTGTAATTTGTAATCGTGTCTTCGAGGGAGTCGACGAGCTTGAACGTGAGGGTCGGGTTCTTGGATAGGAGTTCTTCGTGGATCGTGTCGTTGACAAGGTACAAATCTGTTTGAGGATCATAAGTTAAGCCAAAGGCTGTCTCGAACTCAGCACACACGTCTGTGGGTAGCCACAGATGCGGGACAGTAGAATCAATGACAGAGAAGTGTGCTCCAGAAGTCAGAGAGTAGGTGCCCTGCAGCGTGTTTGTAGCCATGATCGAGTCCACCCCAACAGTTAGGAGCCGGGAGGGGTCTTGTGAGAAGGTGAACGAGAAATCGTTCGCGCCAGTCTCGAACCGCGTCGCATCGTAGCCGCCCAATATCAGACTACCGAAAACAGACTTCAGCCTGTACTTCGCGCCTGCCGTATACGCATATGCAAAACTGGGAATCTTCTTGCTTTCGCGCAGCAGGTAGAGGAACGAGTCGACCGGCTGGCTGCCACTGTTAAAGCTGGACTTTGCTTGACCTAGGCCCAGAACTCCCAGATAATAGTCCGGGTCGGCAACGGCAGCGACAACCTGGCGCGTTAGCGACACAGAAGAGCTGCTGTCCGTGGCTGCTCCTAGAGTGACAGTATCCAGGCCAAACAATCCTCTCCCTGTGTAATTGAGCGCATCCTCCAAATCAACGTCGTATTGCCCAATCGCCGACCATGTAGTCGACGCGTCGACCTGGAAGCCGGTGCTTTGCGTGCTCTGGAAGACCTCTATTCCTCGTAGTTGTGGGCAATCTGTAGGGTCGACTCCCTCCAAACAACCTTCTGGCGCAATGACGTATGTGACACCTCCCTTTGTGCTGGGCAGTACACGAAAGTCTTGTCCTGGCGTTCCAACGCTTATCTTGAAGGTGCTCCAGCTCCCATCGGCACCGTCGAACTTATTCGAAGGTGGCACAACATACGGCTCCGGGGCCTCGGTAGCGCGCGGTGTGAGGCGCATGGTGTAGCGAGCGAATGGTAGTGAGGGTTGTGAGATGGCCCTACATGGACCTGGCAGCGATCGGTCGACGACTTAGAGGGTGCGAAGCGTGCAACACATAGCGGAGTTGTCTTTCGGAGGACTTGGTATGCCGGCTTGAGTCAGCTCAGCTACCGGGAATGCGGTTCCAGGGCCATCGGAAGCTTTCAAGGCCAGAGCGGTTCATGGGCGTTTTGCTCCAAGAACCCACTCCAACAACTGCGGGCGCCGCGTGACGATCGCCCACCCTAATTATTAGATTGGCATGGCAGTGCAGCCTGATTCGGTGACAGTAGCAGGGAAGTCCGGCTAGCCTCCAAGGTCAATCGAGCTGGATACGAGGGCATCATGGGAGAGGCGTATCCGTTGGCATGCTAAGGGGTAGCGTGGCTTTAGTCATCATCCTGCCCAATGACGGAGCCCTGGAACGACTTCCCGCTGATCCTCTCAGCCTCCTTTCGACACCATCTCGGCCCAAGCGGCCACGCCTTGAGCGCCTTCGTCATGCGGTTCCAAGTTCCCTTTGAATGGCGCTCGACAAATGCATGCCAAAAGTCAACGGTGACCTCTCAGCCGGTGTTGTCGCATCTATCATCGGCTAAGGCACGCTGACATGTCACCCATCTCGCACTATCTCGCCTGACATGGTCGTGTTGTTCTTGCCGAGAACCTGAGACGTAGCCCAGCAATCTCTTCACTTGGCCCTAAAGGGCAAACCCAGTAGTTCGTCGCTCCAACCTCCAGGAGATCGGTTCAAGGCTGGATCGTTCTTGCGGGGCAGATCTCCTAGGTGATATAGGGTATGCCGATTGACACCAGGAAATCGAGACAAGCGTTGCATATGGCGCTACTGATAGCTAAGTTGTAGACTGCAACAGTTGCTGTTGAAGACAATTAATTGCAAGTCATGTCAGCATTAAGCTTGGTTCTAGGCGGACCTACGAGAGCATGCAAATCCAACTGATCAGCACGGCAGACGAGGGTCCACCATCCAACGATGCCCTGGCGGTCATACGCGTCAACGGTATGTGCCTCGTGTTTCCGCTAAGCATGGCTATCGCTAGGGCCGTGCATGGATCGCAACCTGATCATGCGTCCGAATAGCCTTCATCGAATGGTTCGAATTCGCACTGTTTAGGGCAGAAACTGGCTGTTTTCGCTTTTGCGGTACTCTCTTACGTCCCAAACGTCTTGCTTGACCTTCACACTATCACTCGCTTGGTGTAGAAGGCTCACAGCAAGATGCGGAGATTTATCAGTCTTGTCGGGCCTGCACTGGTTGCGGCTGGCTCAGACGCCAATGGGTACAACAGGAGAGGTACGTCATTTCCCCATCGAGATCATCTAGCTAACATACCCCAGAGGGTATGTAGCGAGATTCGAATTGAAGGCATCTTACTAAATGTTTGTTTCTAGGCAAGGAGTTTGTAGTCACGACACTTTCGACCAACACTCAATCACATGATTCGACTGCGCCGCAAGCTTCATCTCTTTCACCCGTCACCAGTCTAGATTGGGTTCATGAGGTGCACCCCTGGGACACACCTACACCATTTTCCCTTGTTCCTCCAGAGATACCTACCTCTCCTCTGGCTCCGGGTTCTACGAATAGCAGTAGTACCTCGGTTTCACCAATGACACCGGCAGTCGTCACATCTATTGCCTATGGACAATCGCCGCCATTCCCGAACATCACGTCAGTCGATAGCAACTCTCCGATGCCTACTGGTGTGTGCACGGGATGTATCATTGCAGCGTATGGTCCCATTACCACGTCTTACAACCCTGGGGAGTTTTACAACCCATGGACCAGTATAGTGGTGACCGAGACAATTGTTACGGAGTATTCTACCTACTTGCACAACAACACTGTCGATACTGTGGTCACCGAGGAGCGAACTGTCAACCAGACTAAGACCCTTACCCTGGACGAGGGACAAATAATCACGCGCTCGACACCAACGTTCACGATACAGCCAACGCCAGGTGTATTCTTCCACCTTGATGCAGGTCCAACTTACGTCATCTACAACCGGCTGTCTGGTGGAGTAGATAAATATCGAGAGGTATTCTTGCCACAGTATAATATGACAGCAGCAGAATGCTCGTCAAACGTCGCACCTTTAACGAGTTGGGCCCCTGCAAGAACGGCATCCGCAGACTGGAGTTACTTCATCGCAACCCACACTGGAAAACTTCCTCCAAGCCCAGGAAGGGATGAGCCCGTGCCTTTACCCTCCAAACTAATTCAGTATCTAAAAAATGACACAGATATCCAGAGACAATTTCACGGCGCGGACATCGCTACGTGTAGTTACAGTAGACCGCCTCAATCGAATTTACGTCCATTGCCCTCGGGAATCGCCGCACCGGCTGCACCACCTCTATCATCGCTTCCTATCTTCCTGTCGCCCTTGACAGGCACATATCTCGCGACCAGTTTTGAGTCCACCTCAGTTCACGTCACGGTCCGGGGATGTTTAAGATGTGAAGATACATCGATAAAGGACGCCGGGGACCCTACGATGTCAGCCAAGATTGCAGAGCCTACTCCTACAAACCACAACGATGACGACAGGCATGACGATAACTCTCCATCACCCAGTCAGCCTGATAGACCAGTCGATAACACCGCCAAGCCGACCCAGGATGGTGGGAAAACTTCACCGAGCATTCCGGACGCGACCGCGACTAAGGACGTAACGATTGGGGGAGTGGTCCTCCCCATCAACACTCCCAAGCCGACTCAGGCAAGGCCCGATAGCCCGAACGACGATAATCACGATCAGATTCCTCCAGTGATCATCATTGGAACCGTAACAATCACACGAGGGCAGACGAAGACCATCAACGGCGTGCCTGTGGTCGTACCTACAAATGGTGGAGGAACACAGATCGTTGTAGATGGCAGCACGGTTGCTCTCAATCAGGCTCCGACGCAAGCTCCCAATCCGGCTCCGACGCAAGGTTTACCTGTGCTCATTGTTGGTGGGGGGATCGTCACACCAGATTCGAATGGAAATTACGTTCTGGGGTCCGAGACGTTGAAGCCGGGCGGCCCTCCGATCACTATTAACGGGAACACCGTCAGCATGGCACCGGACGGCTGGGCTATTGTCAATGGAGCCACACAGACTATCGCAAACCTTCCGGCGCTTACCGGAGCCCCCGCTTTGACGGTCGGCAGTCAAGCCGTCTCAGCAACCGTAGTGGGAGGCTCAACAGTCTTTGTTGTAGCGCCTGGTCAGACGCTTAGTGCAGGAAGCACACTTGTCGTCGATGGCACGACTTACAGCATGCCGGCAGAGGGTCACGGGTCAACCCTTGTCGTCAACGGCCAGACTTCGATGTTGAATGCTGGACAATCAGCAATTACTCTCGACGGCGGGAGATCGGTTACTGCGCAAGTCGTCAGCGGCACGACAGCCTATATTCTCGCTCCTGACCAAACCCTCACACCTGGTGGCGTCCTCACGATCTCGGGGACCACATACTCCATGCCAACGGGTGCATCCGGTTCTGTCATCGTCGTCAACGGTGTTACATCCACTTTGGCTGCTGGTGCAGAGATCACCGCCGCACCAGCCTTGACAATCAATGGCGTGACGTATGCACACACTGTCCGAGACGGAACGACCGAATACGTTCTGAATGATGGAACCACACTAGCATCCGGATCATCTATAGAAATCGACGGAACTACCTACTCTCTAGACGAACAAGGCACGGCCTTGATCATCAACGGCCAAACCAGCACCATACCCAAGTTACCCAAGAGCAACAGCGCCAGTACAACACGTTCAGACTCCGCTTCTACAACGAGAAGTCGCGACGCTGGAGATTTGATAGCGAGCGGAATAGGCGAGACAAGTAAGGGAGTCGGACCATCTACACACGCCGGCGGCTTAGACAAGTGGATTGAGAGTTTGGTTATTGGCGCGGCGGGATGGCTTACACTGCTACTGTGAGGAGCTCGGCCATTGAAGGATTCGGAAAAAATTGGGTGGTAACGATTTGATGCATTATCATATAGCGCGGCGCTTGGTACTTTGGATGGGACACAGGGATACATAACGACTTGGACATATATTGGGAGGACTACAGTCCGCATTTGGGTGGAGCTAGGACCTTTCTGGTAGATATTGGTATAAAGCGTAATGCTGTTAATCTTTATACTTGGTAAATCAAACTAGAAGATGTATGCTGCGGCAAATGCGCGATGGTACGCTGTTCCACGCCGTTATGCTCAAGATGTCCTTCAAACTCGTCCGAGACCTCTTCAAGTCCAAAAAGGATCTCCAAGATGGCGTAATAGTACACAAAATCCGTTTGTGATACTAGACGACAGTAAAGACGCAAGTCTGGTCAACTCAGCCGTAACTGTCTCCAACCTACTTCCCACCCTTCTTGAACAATTCCCATGCCTCGACCAAACCTTGCCTGGTCTCATCCTGCTTCGCTCGCTGCTCATCACCGATATCTCCAACAGCGCACATGTTGCCATCGTATGCCTCGCCCGAGAACAGAACGCTCAAGTTCATCCAGACCGGAACGACCTTCGTATCCGGACCCTTGACCTTCATCTTCTTGAACAGCTCTTTCGCCATCTCACCTCGCAGGCGCTGGACATAGTTGGCCCACTCCTCTTCAGCACCATTCCTAGTCCACGTCTTCCCGAAGCCCTTGCTAGTCGAGTCCATTTCCAGAACAAGGGTGAGGGAAACGAGACCGCGGTAGTAGTTCTTCATGACGTTGTACCCGCCGCTCAGCAACCAGTGCAGATCGTAGAAAGAACGGATCTTGATGTTGAGCTTGGTGACGAGACGCTGACATCCGGTAGGAAACAGCCTAACACTGTAGTCGGGTGGAGGACAGAGTTCGTTGGTTGGTCTAACGACCTCGAACATGTTCTTTCCGTAAAGCACAGCCTTGGCCTCGGTGAATACTTCTTTGTTCGCGCGGAGGATGTGGTTGTTGGTGCGGCCGACGAGCGAGAAGCGGGTTTTGTGGCCGTCGACATGGAGGTGGACGAGCGCGTACGCAATACCAGGGAGGAACTCGCGGCGCTCGGCGTGGAGGAAAGCTTTCTTCTCGTCGTGGAATACGGTGTGCTTTTGGCGGACGCAGATTATGCCGGGGACGACAAGGAGGTGCGTGTAGATGATGTTGCGAACGGAGATGGGGAGGTTCATGAATGGGAACGGTTCCTTGTTCGAAACGGGGCTGTCAATGGCGAGAGCAAGGGAGGCGAACGGGTCATGCTTCTCGAGGGCTGTGGGTCTGGCAGTGTACGAGTCTGCTGGAACTGGGGAAGAGAGGTCGAAGTTGCTTGCGGGTGAGGTACTACCCTCGTCATCGCTCTTCTCGCGGGTCTCGGTGTCGAAGGTCTCCTCTGGCTCGTGGAAGAAGACGTCGGGTGACTCTCCCTCGTCGAAGTTGATTGCGCGTCCTGTCTTGTTGGAGTTGGCGTCAAGGTACTCGACGTTGCTGAAACGAACGCGCTTCGCCATACCGCCGGTCGAAGGCGGTGTCATGGGGTACGATGGCGGAGGCGTCTGTGGTCGCTCGACTGACGGCTCCATATTGAATGCGGATCGCGATGGGTATGAGGAGGATTAATATATGGTGGTTGATAGAGGAGTGAGGCAGGCAAGACGCCAATAGATGGGCGAATGGAGGATATGTGAAGGTGAGAGAGAGCTATAGCGGACTCCAGGCGGGGCATCTCCACAATAGGAAAGCTATGATGAGGTGAAGGTGAACAGTGATGGACGGCCGCCGCTCTTTTCGTGGGGGACGACTAATGCGTCGGCACAAGTATACATGGTAAACAGTGGGCGAACAGGAAGATATGATGGGTCATGGAGTTATTTTTCGTCAGATTGTTGATCTTGTAGCGATGAGTTGAGTTTATGGCTGGACTACGCTGTCACGATAGCGAGCAGTGTGGAGGGGTAGGGATGACTTCAAAGAATGCCTCGCCCGCGGCGCATCCAATTGACTTCGAAATTCGAAAACCCGCATCTCAACAGACCGCCATATAATGGCTATCACATGAATTACAGTGCGGATCTAGGTACTTGCGGCTCTTTCAAGCTCCAAGATATTGTTGAAGGTAGGATGATACCTATGTTGACCCCTCCACACACCAGCTCTCGAATTTGTGCAGCGTAACTCAGCAACAGAAGCAGTAGGCAGCTGTTCAGAGAGAGAAGAGAAAATAAAAGTAGATGCCAAAGAGCCGATGAAGATGTTGGAGTTGCGCCGTGGTTGGGTGACATTCCAGGTCCCGCGGCCCAATCGGTGCTAGTCGCAGCCAGTGCCGAGCCGGGCTCAGAAACCTCATCGCAGCATCCTCAACTGCACCCGCGCTCCTTAGCAGCCCCATCCCGCAATCCATCTCCCCTCTACCCACCATGTCTGCCGCTCGTGCCTTCAGCACCGCTTTCCGGGCGGGTGCGCCCCGCGCCCCAATGGCCGCCCGCTACGCTGCCACCCGAAGCTACGCTGCCGCCGCCGCCCCGACTGGCTCTGCCAACAAGCCCCCGGTTGCCCTCTTTGGCGTCGACGGAACCTACGCGAGCGCTCTGGTACGATTTCCACGACTCCAATTGGCACTCTGGCGATGATAGGCGGATGGAAAACGGGCCAATGGCTGGGGAACAAGAGCTTGGCTAACAATTGTGGCAGTACACCGCGGCCTCCAAGACCAACGCCCTCGACCCCACCGCAAAGTCTCTCCAGGCTCTCCAGGGCGTCTTCCAGAAGGACGCCAAGCTTACCCAGATCCTCCACGCCCCCTCCCTCTCCGTCTCGGACAAGCAGCAGATTGTCCAGGAGCTCCAGAAGCACATTGGCGGCGCCGACAAGGACGGCATCGTCAAGAACTTCCTCGCCACACTCGCTGAGAACAACCGATTGGGCGTACTACAGGGTGTCGTAGAGAAGTTCGGTGTGCTCATGGGTGCGCACCGTGGTGAGGTCGAGCTGACCGTCACCAGCGCTGCGGTACGTTGATTCCGAGATGGGATGGAAGGACAGACCCCAAGAATAGAGGAGGATTTTGCAGGGACCCAAGAACTGACAGAGTGCAGCCCCTCGACAACAAGACCATCAGCCGCCTCGAGAACGCCATCAAGAACTCGCAATATGTCGCCAACGGCCAGACCCTCAAGGTCGTCCCCAAGGTCAACCCCGAGATCCGCGGTGGACTCATCGTCGAGATCGCCGACCGCACCATCGACAAGTCCGTCGCCGCAAAGATGGCCAAGATGAACAAGCTCCTCAAGGATACTTTGTAAATATAGAGCGAGAGCGCATGGCGATGGATGTGAGGGGTAGGCATGTGTATTCTAGATGAGTCTTGGAAAAGAGCAATTTACTACCGTCTACCACCTGGCGACGCGCCACGATCGACTGATGACTTGAGCTTGGATTTGTTAAGAAATACATTGGAGCAGCTGATGTTTTACAGACAATCAATTATCGCGCTCGTGGCCCTCTAAAATGTGTAGGGATGAGCGTGCCCTGCCAACTCACCGGACACCGTCTCAATTTTCCTAGAACCAACGGTTGCCAGCTAACTACTGCGCTACAATACGCTATCGCATTGGCACAGCCCCCATGTCAACCTAGAGAAAAGGTGAACACCCTGGGGTCTACGTCGATGTTAACACACCCACTTTGTGTGTACTCATCTTAATGTAGTCTGCAGACCCGTCCAGTTTTTCCCTTGCATGAGGTGGCCCCTACCTACCACGCGAATCCCCAAGACGTCCACCGACGTATTGTTCTGTTCATACTTTGTTTTCCGGGTTGCAGTAACCAACTTTCTTCTAGTCGTCGAAGAATTCTGGAAAACGCACGCGTATGCTCGGTAGCACACACGGCTCATCTCCATTGGCCGCAGTCCACGCAGCAGCATCGTATGGCTTCGGAACCAGCCATTTGTCCCACCCACGCTTCTCATATAAAGCTTTGGCCTCCAAAGTTTTGACTAGGAAGGCATAATACTTTTCTAATAGCTCCTTGAGGCGTTCTAGGGTATGTACCTCTTCGGTGGTTTCCTTTCCGGGACCTTCGTAAATGGGTTCGATCTGCGGGGAAGTTAGTATGCTTCAAAAGCTGTTGCAATGTCAAGTACTGTTTTTGAAGGGGCTGGATGACATGCGAAGGTTATCGCATACTTACAATCATCAGAGGGAATTTCATAAGGGAAATAGGTGTCTGTTCGATCTCGCGGATGTAGAGGGTTCGTTGGTAAGGAAACCCCTCAAGTGTGGACGCTGACGTTGCGGTCGTATTTGGCGACATTGTAGTGTGCTTGGTTGATCGTGAAAGCGTGCGGTGAATGGTATAGTTCTGGGAATGAAGAGAAAGTACGCAGGGCTCTTCATGGCTCATATACGATGTTCGCAGTGAATATTTGTTTCGATTCTGGCGATACATGGTTGGGGATATCTGAACTATGGTTCACCACCACAGCGCGGTGTAGCTACTTGGAAAGACAGCAGCGAGGGACTTCCAACCAAGGACGTGGGTAGGTGCACTATTTAATTTTCGATAAAAAGGTCTCATTCGATTGGGTATAATATCGCACTGCTCAAAAACAACGAATAGCCAGAAAAAGATATCAAACTGCACCAAAAAACAGCAACCTCTTCCTCAACCTGGACACAGCCTTCTTCACCCGACTCTTCCTTCTCCACCTCCTCGCACCCAGTTTCACAGTAAAAGACCGCCCGTCGCCTCCATATACTTCTTCAGTCCCGTCCCTTTTCAGCCATTTGGCGTAGTCTGAGGAATCTGAAGAACCTGAAGAGTCTGAAGCACTGGAAGAGTCTGGGTACTCTGGATGTTCGATCGCAAGACCGCCTGTACATACTAGTTCTCCGTCGACGAAATGGGAGGATAAGGGTGTGAGGTAGTCGTCTGTGAAGGGATTTGATGGAGATTTTTCGGATGGAGTGGATAGGTCTACTACGCTGTCCTTTCGTTGTGGCGATGAAGAGGTTGTGGTGGGTATGTCGGACGCAGCATCCCCGTAGTGTGTCTTGAGCAGAGTGTCTAACTCGCTTTGGGAGGACATAAGGGTTTTGCTGCTGCTATCGTCGGTGGCCTATTTGTACTTGTCAGATAAACCCTCTTTCATGTTGCGGTTTCTCAGGGTACAACGGGAGTAAACTTACAACGAGGATCGGGAAGCGGAGACGAGTGTTATCGAGACCTGGTGCTAAAGTGGCGATATGCCAGGTTTTTGGGTTGCGCAATCGTTGCGCGGGCATGTTGATGGCAGTGCTTTTAGACGAATACCGATCTGAAGGCATTATTCGTTTGCCGTAGTGTAGCTAAGGGTAGGAGGTTGAGTTGGTATGCGAGATGGGGACCGAAAAGAGTATTCGAGAGATAAAAAGAAACGCGTGCCACATATTTACTATACGTGTTTCTAGTATGACTCCCTATTGCTAACTGTAGTTCACTCATAGGCTCACGTGTAGGCAGACGAATGGAGGGACCATGGTTTTGGAGAGGAAAAGTGGATCAGCTCGTGACGTGTATCACGGTGTCGCTAAGGAGTGGGAAATCAGGCGAACGGCGTCATGGGATTGTGCATGGGATCGCCATAGTCAGGATGGCAGGAATATGGACATAGCGATGAAACACATTGGATGTAACAATTTGAATTCGAATGAGCGTGGGTGAAGACTGATGCATAGCCTCCCTCCAATGACCAACCGGCCGACTTAAGCCTGCCAAACATACTCCATGCCAACACAAGGCTCGACGCCCACATTCTCGTCGACATCCATGACGAAGTCGCCATCTTCGTCATCTTCATTGCAGACAGTGCTCCTGGCAAAGCTGTCTGCATCTTCCATGATGATTTCCGAACCCACCTTCTCATCCTTATCCCCGTCATCGATATGCGAACAGTCCTCACTCCCCTCACACCCACACATATCATCCCACTCCTTCTCCCACGGCCCCAACCCGTCAAAAATACTAACAGGGTTAACCGGCAACTTCTTCCGGGCTTCTTTGCCCGACCTGCCCCTCACTTCGACGCGCAAGTTCGCTACATCAACCGAGCTGTTGACGATTGGGTTGACCTCGACACCCTCATCCATGACTGTGGTTCCGATCTAGTGAGTAGACGTTAGAAACATTCAACCATAGTTTGGCAATTGGGAGGGCAACTTGCGATTTGGGCGGGGTAGGAGGCGATGAAATCTTTATCGGGTTGCCATCCTACTAGTATGCCGGTGATGTGGTATTGTGGTAGGCCGTTTTCTTGTTGCCTTAGCTTGCGGTCGTCGGAGTCGTCGTCAGAGTCGAGAAGCGTCTCGGAGTCTGTATCGCACTCCGTGTCGGACGTAGCGCGAGAGGGGGTTGAGAAGACTCCCTGGGTCTCAGCCGGTTTTGTTGTGAACTGCATGGACACGGTGTAGTAGGTTAGGGCTGTTGTGTGATTTATATAAACTCGCGGTGAAGATATGTAGGCTTTTAAGAGGAAAATTTCGAGATGAGCGCAAACTATAGATAACTGGAGTTAAACCGTGGTTCTGTTTCTGACATTATATCATTATTGCTCACTTATCGTAACGCGCCAACGAGATGGAGAATGTTTCTAAGAGTGGGGCGCGAAAGATGGAGTCGTAGGATGCAAAGTCGATGTAGTTGGATCTCACTGCAGCTTGCAGTAATTTCTGCCATGGTTTACTTGCCAACGACACAGACTCACCTCAACAGCCATGCCTAAGAAACCAGCGATACAGATACCTCCAGAATCACTCACACTAGTCGCGCCCAGGCTGAATTCCCTATCCTCTTTCGGCACGTTATCCGTAATCTCGGCAAAGGTGCTGACATAGACTAGCCCACCTAATAGACCTTCCCAGAAAATGATTACGCAAACGATGTAATAGCTCGGGATGAAATTGAACATGGCGTGCAGCGCGAGGACAATGAGATTGGCGACTTGAAGGAATGACGGGACGTAGAGGTGGTGTATGCGTATGAAGGGTGTGGAGGATCGCGAGATGAAGACACCAACCTGGTAGATGGCGCCATAGGTGCTATAGAAGGAGCGGTATTCGTCGAAAGGAGAGGATTCGAGAGGGAAGAGCAGAGTGGGTGCGACGCCCTGGTTGATAGTGTACTCGGCGATGTAGACAAGAAGGAGGGGCAGCATACTGTGATGAATTAGTCTGGAGTAGATGAGGTTTAAGGATAAGGCTTACTATGGGAAGAACAGGCCTCGCGCGCGGTTGAGGTTTGCGCGAAAGCTACTCAGCGCACTGTTAGCACCGGTGTTAGTGACAGAGGGGAAGCTGCGCCCTGAAGCCGAGTGCATGGAGGAAGACAACAGGTCGTCTTGTTCCTGCGCCGGGCCTACTTCCTCTTCCTCATCGTCCCCATGGTCATCGATGGCTTCATAGTCGCCTTGTTTCTGGATGCCAGCGCGCATCGGGCCGAGTGGAAGGATAATGAAGAAGCTCAGCACCATGATTAGCGGCAAGAAGGAGAAGACGAGTAGACTTGTACGGGGTGTGATGCCGAGCGTGTTGGTTGCAATGGCATAGGCGCCGGCACCGATCAAGCCGGCGCCTCCCGTGCCTGAGCCCCAGGAAGCCAGGGCAAAGTGGCCGTAGTAATGTGTTAGGCCAAGGAAGCTCAGTTCACCAGCTCCACTGCTCAGACTGGCAAGCATCACTCCGCACAGCTTGATGGCGATGGTGCCCGAGTCCTGCAGTGGAGGCGTGAGGGCGATGATGAGCATGCCGCATACGGAGAGAGCGACGAATATGACGATGCGCACATTGTAGGGGATCTTGTGGATGAAGTACGGGGCGCACAGTTTGGCGAGGAACGAGGGAATGACATCGGCGAGGAGCACGACGCCTTTGGGGACATTTGGGCCGACGAGGTCGAGGGCGGCGGAGAGGATGATTACGTAGAGCACGTTGTTAATGAGGCCTGGGCGTGTTAGTCGCGGTGGAGCGGACAGTGTTGGTGCCCCTCTTTGGGGGTTCAGGTGCATGCATACCGAACAACCAGAAGGCGGCGCACACGCGTGGGTCGGCGCCATGGAAGACAGCCTTGAGGCGCGCACGGTAGACGGCCCAGGAAGACGCGGGAGAGCCAGGCATGGGGAGGAGCGGCATGGGATGCAGAGGCTGGTGTTGCTTCACATATCGCAGGTTGGAGGGTGAAAGCTACGGGCACGTGTCACGCGCCTCAGATGACGAGGGGCAGCTGCTGGCTGTGCCCGTGTTGATGGCTGGGCTGGACTCGGACATGGATGGGTGCACCTGCCGATCGGGCTTGGCGCGAGGCGGTCAACTGGAAGGAACGATTCAGGAACGGGCTGCATGGGAACGGGCGTCGCATGTTCCGACGAGCATGGGTGTTTCTTTTTGTGCGCAGCGCGGGCAGTCTGGGCGGGGCTACGACGAACTATGGCCAGGGGCCCTCTGATATACGCATCATCATGCGCCTGAGGGCTTTGAGTCGAGCAAACGTCCTGTGGCCGTGTGGGCGTGGTGTAGGCGCTTTGTGGGAAGCAGCCCTATCACATCGTCAGTGCCTGCCCTCTAGTCGGGCTCTCGCTTTCGTCGCTGCATGCGGGGCTGCGCTAGAGTCCTACAGGGATCGTGGCGCTTGGTCCCATTGCGCCTTCTCGTTTCCTCGCATGCTCGAGGCTTCTTTTCTTCTGCAATACTGCTGCTCGCTCTGGGCCGCACCCCTCCACACGACGACGACCATTGTACTCTCCATAATACGCTAGCGAGCGGGAGCGTATACTGCTATCCCGTACTTGCGACACTTTCATCCTCACCACCTCTCCGATGAGCCCAAGCCGACGATGGACCGCCCGCCGCCCTACCAACGACCACCAGATCGCCCTATGAACTACCACCCGCAGACGACGCAAGCCTACCCAGGCCACCCGCCAGCCTCACAACCACAACCGCAACAGCCACTCCACGCTCCGTATGCCGTCGACCCGTACTCGATGCCCCGGCGCGACCCATTCTTTCCTTCGGGATCACAACACGTTCGACGCAGTAGTCAAGGACTACCGGCTGGTAATAATGCGCCGCAAGGCCAGAATGAGGGACAGGGGCAGGGTGGCTGGTCAAATACAGGTACGGGCTACCATTTCCACAAATGTCTTGGAGAATACATCTGCGCAGTACGCACTGAGGACGGAGGGTCTGTGTAGCCTGGACATGCATGTGTACAATTTTTGTAGCTCTCACCAGTTCACAAAAGGTGCCCAAGCCATCCAGGCTGCATTTTGACCTGTATGTCTCAAGTCTGTGGCACCGCTCGCGTGGCTGTCTGGTGCTCGACGAAGGCAAGAGACGGTAGTGGGAAGGCATTGCCTGCATGGATTGCTGCATGACACGTCAATTGCGAAAAAGCACTTCACCGCCTGTCGCCGTCATATAGACGCAGGCAAATGCAGGCAGTCTTTCCCTACTAGTGTCGCCATGCCATCCCGAGCCACACCAACATCTGCGTTGCTCAACGGTGCGCGCCATTTGTCGGTGGAGATGGCATGGGTCTGGCGAATTCTATGGCGCACTCCGCAGATGTGGCTCCTAGCTAATGCACGATCCGCGGGCCTCTAAACCTCTTTCGAAAAGTCGCGACTCGCCGTCCGAGCTTGTGCTGATCCATGTCTTTAGCGCGACCGATACACTACGAGACTCATCACTCCCAGTCGCACCCTCCACCGCAAATGTCCACTTCCAACAACCCTCCAGCCCCGGCGCCCTATAGCTTCGATGCTGCGCGCGCCTCGTCGCTGAACGCCGCCAGCTCCCCGAACCCCTATGGTACAGCCCCGCTCCCAAAAGCAATGGTCAAGCTTTGTCCCAAACTAACTCTCCCCCAGGCCCGTCTCACGAACCTCCACCTCCACCATCCTTCGCGCGGCCCCAAATGCCTCCTCCATCGTCCCCCACACAGCAGCATCTCCATGCATCCCAGTCGCAACGTCCACAATACACCTCTAACTTTGGCGCCAACAGAGAGCTTCCTGGCCTAGGTCAGGCGTTGCGACCGGGAAGCAGCATGTCCATCTCATCTCTTATCGGCGGCGGCGGTGACACAGGTGCGCTCAACCAAACAGCGCAATCACAGCCCTCGCCTCCCACCAACGTCCCAGTACCCAACGGCCACAGCATGCAGCCACCTTCGCCTCGACGTGGCCTGCCCGCTGGTTCACGGTCGGATTTCCCTCTGTTTCGCCGTCAACCCACCCCAGAACGCAACATGTACGGCAGCAATACCTCGCGGCCGTCTGAAGGTCATGCCTTCTCGGCCGGCTCACCCAGACAGTCCTACAGCAACCATGGCTCGCCTGATCCGGGTCGCCAGTCGCTGCCACCAACGACACAATCCTACAAGCCCATGAACTTCGCCGGCCACCGCCCCTATGCGCAGGACACAGGTCGACAGCCTGCCGCGAATGTCCCACCCCGACCGAACAGCCAACCGATGGGCCCTCTGGCAAACACCGAACAAGAGGGCAGATCTTCGTACGACGGGTTCGCAGGCCGGCGCAGCGCCTACGGGCCAAACGAGGAGCGGCGGCGCACACTGGGGGAGTCGCATCACGCAAGGCCCAATGCTGCAGAACTCTTAGCAGGCACAAACCACAATGCCTCGGAGAGGGATCGGCCCGTGACTGTTCACCCTGTGTCGCAGTCTGGCTTCAGTCCACCGCAGGCGCAGCGCAACATCTCTGGCTCATCCGAACCTCCACGCAGTCTGTGGCGGCAATCAGCGCCCACCGGTGCTGTCCATGAACCTCCTCATGACAGTCGCGCAGAGGAACCTCCGCCGATGCATCGCACCTATGGCCCGTACCCCCCATCCATGTTGGGCGCTCCCCGATACGGCGCCCAAAGTTCAGAGGATATGTTGCGACGCAGTGTAGACCAGTTGGGCCATCGCGTAGTCGAGCAGTACCACGCTCCTCCTACCTCCGACCCCAACTCCCTAGAGCGACAGAGGACCGAGCCACTCGCACGCTCTCTATCCTCCAGCGGAAGATCACTCTACGATCAGCCTTCCCGGATGGGCGAGGCCATGCAACACTCGAAATCGCACATTGGCTTTGGTTTGGAGGCGAGCAGACGAACGGGCAGAGCGTCTCCGCTTCCACAGGCTGTTCAAGGTGCCTCGGCGCAGCCCTTGTCCGTTGGCAAAGATCCTGGAATCAAGAGCGAATTCGGGCGCATGTTCTCCGGTCTCGGCAGCGGGCTGGGATCGACGACCCCATCGCGGGGAAGCCCCATGCCACAGAACGGCCAGGGCTCATTCGAATCGGACAACGGCGAAATGATGAGAAGAATCGGTTCCCAGCAAGGAAGGAAGCCGAAGCGAGTCAAGGATGAGGAGGGGATCTTCGACATCGAGAATGCTGATGGTAGAGGAACACCCGGTGCGCGTGGGACCAAACGGAACAAGCACCATCATCATCAGTGAGTTCCCTCATTGCCATACAAGATGCGTACTAACAGCATAGTCACCACCATCACCATCACCACCAACACAAGCCTGACGAAGACACGGCGATCCAGCCAACCTCAACTACCATTAACGGGCGACACCCCAGTCTACCACAAGCTGGCCCAGGCCAATCAGTTCATCACCACCACCACATTGGAGGAAACCCTCATCACCATCATCACCACCACCACACCCCTCGACCTAACCTTCAGCCGTTGCAGCAAGTAACAAAGATCCTGATCAAGGTCCACGACGTACAGCCTGTTCTTGACGATGCTGCGAAACGCCCTCGCAAACATCTTGGATCACAGCTGTACGATGCAAAGACCGAGCTGCCCAAGCCCAACTCATCGCTAGATGACCAGTTCGGATACGCCTCGAAACCTCAACGGTTGCCTCGTTTCGACGTCAATCCCATCAATTGCACCTTTACTATCAGAGTGCCGCGTTACTACCTGAAACCACGACAACGCCAGCACGTCGTGTTAGAGAGACATCTTTGGGGTGCGCGCGTGTATCGCGACGATTCAGATCCTATTGCTGCTGCGATCCACTCTGGATGGATCCGTGGTGAATGGGATGATACTGTCGACGTCACTATGCTCGACCCACGCATCACTGCGCCCAACGACCCAGCCGATGCCGCTGATGTTTTAACAAAGGTGCCAGCGGCCCCTGTGACACCACCCGCCGATATGGACTTGCAGATTGAGATACTCATCTTGCCGCAACTTCAGGAGTACACGGGTTCCGTCGAATATGGCATCTCGAGCAGGAAGAGCAAGGCTCATGAGGGTCTCAGCTTCATGATCAATAAGATTCGATGGGTTGAGGAAGGCATCGGCAGCCGAGGACAGGAACGAACAGCAGCGGCATTGAAGCGACGATTGGATGCCAGCGCGACTCTGCTTGCTTTGCAAAGGGGAATCGACAACACGCACAGGGTCAATGGCATGACCAAACTGCATGCTTGAGATTTAGTTGGATGGATCAAGGTCCATGACATATAACGGCCGTCTGGAGAGTGATTTAGCATGGCATTTGTAGCGCAGGATGATTTTAGCATTGCTAGATACCCGCATCTTTAGCTTGACTCTGGCGTAGGATTGCACATAGCGTTGGCGAATTCTGGGAAACGATGTAATGAGGAGTTGCACACGACATGAAAAAAACTTTTACTTTTCGCATTATCTATCTGTGTTGATGAGTGCTTTTCCAACGGTACGCCTATGGCTGCAATGCGTTGTTATCAGGTCAGCCACACGTGGGGAGCGTGGTAACCAATCCCGCGGCGATCACACACCGCAGTACCAGAGCGATAGCGGCCTGGACGTACCCCGGGCTTGCGTGTACGCACCTTAAGCAAGAGCAGTCTATCCCATTTGCGTGGTGTGCATTTGATCCTTCAACCTTCAACGCCCAGTCGACAGATCGCGAGGTACACGATACTCTGGCAGCCCACTGCCCCGCCACGACGAAAGCTTACGTGACGCCCCTCATCACAACGCGTACAATAACTGATGTCAACGATGCATCACCGGACTTACTCCATATCGACTGTAAGTAGTCTTTTTTCCTTGCTAGGATCTTCAGGATGCACCATTGTTTTTTTGCCGATTTACGACGACTGGCGCGCGACTACGACAATGTAAAGAAATTTCGCTCCCATCCATCACGTCTTCCCGGCAATCGGCGGCTTTAGGCAGGCATGTTTCTGGACCCCCTAGCTATGCTGCTGGAGCCATTGTCGTCATACCGCAGAAGCAGGCGGCATCGTGGCACACGACCCGGAGAGCTCGTAGCAGCATGGCAACGGCTGAGAGCCTTGGAGCTGTCCTGCTGGTGCCCATTGCTGTAGGCAAGCACCAAGGAATGCGCATGGGCAGGCGCAAACGGCGCCCGTTGTTTGCGCTGTCACGACTGCCGGACATGTGGACACATTGGACTGCAGCCACACGTGCTATCGAATGAGAATCACCCGTTACATCTGCTCCACCGCGCCCGCTAGCCTGGAGCCGCAATCCGAACGCTTATTGCTCTGGCTTGTGAAAAGAAGGACGCCGTACCGAATGCGGGGGAATCATCGTCAATCAATCCATCTCCTCTCGCTTCTTGACTGCCGGGCCGACCTGACGACCCTGCAACACGACACTCGACGTCCATACACTTATTGCTTCACCTAACAGACGACTTCAGCCGTGCGACTCCACAGCCTTCTGTTGACCGCCTAGCATCTGCCCTTGCTGCATCGTTGATTAAAAGCCGCATTCTCGCTGCATCTCGGAATACCTTCGGCTAGATTTCCGATCCATATAACTTTTACTTCGCTTCGCCAGTCGCATCGTCACTGGACTTCAGGGAGCTGTACTTGCCGCATACAATGACCGACTCCAATGCCGACTCCAATGGATTCTATGCGCCCAATATGCGCGCAGTGCCTGCTGGCGACTTTGTAAGACCAAGCAGAAAGACTAACGGTGCCGGTGTACAGGCCGAAGACACGCGGATATGCGTCGTCATGGTAGGCTTGCCCGCGCGGGGCAAGAGTTTGATTGCACAGAAAGGTACGTTTCTCCTGTACGGTCTCGTATAAACACTAACGAGTTGCAACGCAGTGGTTCGCTACCTCCATTGGTTATCGATCAAATCCAAGACGTTCAACGTTGGCCAGTATCGTCGTACTGCGACCCCAAACCCCTCCGCCGAGTTCTTCGATACCTCCAACCCAGAAGGAGAGCGTCTCCGGAAAGCAGCCGCCGAAGCAGCTGTTAACGACATGTGCAAATGGTTTTCTGAGGGCAGGGGCTTGATCGCGATACTAGACGCCACAAACTCGACCAAGAGCCGGCGCAGGTGGATACAGGAGCGATGCGCCGCCGAGAACATCGAGACGCTATTCGTTGAGTCAAAATGCGACGACGAGGATCTCATTATGAGCAACATATTGGAAGTAAAGACGACATCTCCAGACTATGTCGGTCAAGACCCCGAGGAAGCTGCAGCGGATTTCCGCAACCGTATCCGGAACTACGAGAAGGTGTACCAGACCATAGACGAGGACGAGCGCGACCTCACATACGTCAAGCTCATCGACGTGGGCAAGCAAGTCATCATCAACCAGATTCAGGACTACCTCCAGAGTAGGGTCGTCTACTACTTGATGAATCTCCACATCAAGCCGCGCTCGATCTGGTTATCGCGAGTAAGTACATGTCGCAAACACGAGCTATGAAAACTAATCGTGGCAGCACGGTGAATCCGAGTACAACCTTACAGGTCAAATTGGAGGAGACGCAAACCTGTCAGAGCGAGGAGATGCGTATGCGCATGCGCTACCCGGTCTGGTTGCGAAATCGGTCGGCGACGGTCGTAAACTCACTGTCTGGACCTCAACCTTGAAGCGAACGATCCAAACCGCACGATTCCTCACATTCGAGAAGTTGGAATGGAAGGCGCTCGACGAACTCGACTCCGGCGTCTGCGACGGTCTCACATACGCTCAAATCGAACAGAAGTTCCCCGAAGACTTCAAGCAACGCGACGAGGACAAATACAACTACCGTTACTTGGGTGGAGAGTCATATCGCGATGTTGTCATTCGTTTGGAGCCCATTATCATGGAGCTGGAGCGGAGCGAGAACATCTTGATCGTTACACACCAGGCCATCCTGAGGTGTATCTACGCATACTTCATGAACGTACCACAAGAGCAGAGCCCGTGGATGGAGGTCCCGCTACACACGTTGATAAAATTGACGCCCAAGGCGTACTCAACACAGGAAGAGAGACTGAAAGCCGACATACCGGCGGTCAGCACCTGGCGAGGTAAGGGCAGCAAGGCTGAGCATCAGCAGGCAAATGGCGGCACATAGCCTAACTCCTATCCAGCTCCCGGGGAAATCTGCGGCGCGCCTGCTCCCCTGGGAGCGGATGTTGGAAGAATCGTAACGAACTAGGCCAGTGCAAGTCTGGCTCGGCACTATAGACGGACAACGAAGGTTACCAGGGATTTGCGCTTCGATCAAGTCGGACTTGATCTCTCGGCGCGTGTGTTAAGCATTGGGCATAGATTGGCATTTCAGCGTTTTGGTCACATCACTAGACGGCAATATCCAAGGTCGACGGTCAAGATGGGAAGGAGTCGACGTCTCTAAGCATAGCAGTAGCTACTAGATATCAATGTCAAAAACCATTCGATATCAGAAGGGTTCTCTATCTACCAATATGCTCTGATTAACGAAAGCTGCGACGCAGCAGCACACAAAGCACTAACAAACAAGCACGTACTACCAGTCTTGGGAAGCATGATGGTAGTGCCTCGTCGCTGCCACCTTCCCATCTCAGCCTCCCCCGCGGACATTGACCATCATCGCAACCCCACCCAAACCCCAAGCTTCTTCCGCACCGCGCATACACAGCATCCTAACAGCACACCCGTTCTGTAAACACCTTGAATCCCGTCGCTCTCGCCTAGCCCCAGCAATACGATCATGACATGGCCACCCCCCAACCCCGGCGGCGTAAACCTCCAGTTCATCGCCGAAGCGCAACAAATCATAAACAGCCACAACCAGCACCACGCGCACCAGCCTTCGTTCACTCACGCTACCGGCGGCCACGCACCCATCACCAACGACGAAATCGAATCAGAAGCCGCCTTCAACGCCCAGTTCACTGGACCCCCTACCACGTTAGACTACGATACACTCACCGGTGCTGGTTCCAGCAGCGGCGGATACGGCGCGCACCGTTTACATGGGCAATCGCCACAAACAGGAGGAAGTAGTGCTGGCAAGGCAGAGGCACCCAGTAAAGCCACGCTGGAAACACGGAAGAGTATACAGGCACGGGGCAAGAATTGGAATTCTTTCTCTGGTGAGGCGCAGGGGAGGGCGTGGGAGGAGAGGCAGAAGAGGGATGAGGCGGTTAGTATACTAGAGAGTGAGGAGATGCTCATGTGGATTGCGGGGGTGAGGAATGAGGTATGTCCCGTCAACGATCACACAAGTTGGAGAGGAGATCGGTTGCTAATTCGTGGTGGATGCAGAGTGTACCACAAACGCGCGCGTTTTACCGTAACATCGTCCTCGGTCTCACACAACCGCCGGCGGATTGGAATGATGAGTGGGAGGTACAAGGTACTGGAAGTGGAGCCGCAGAAGGGCAGGGTATGGCTGGGAGTGGGAGTCCGGCGAGAAGTGGAAAGGGCAAGGAGAGGGATATTGCGAAGATGAGGAAGAGGGTTAGTTCGGGGCAAGGACCTGCTTGAACGGAAGCTCGCATGTTGATCGTGGGATTTAAGGCGTTACTTTGGATTTAAGGCGGATCGCGTTATACCCCAATTTCTTGCTTGTTTTATTCACACACGGGAGACTTGCAACGGCAAGACGTACAACATTACTATTTTGCGTTACGTAACTATTGCTTCCTTCCGTCTTATTCTCATTTGTGTTCCAAGATCATACATGGCCTTCGCCAAACGCCGTGTCTTTCTTAGGTGCTCAAGCCCAAGCCTTTGCCAGCCCAGGCCGGACCGAACCCAGAGAACGATTGATACCTTTTCACCAAAAGGTCGCGGAAAATGCCAATGTCAAAGCCCATCTGTTGCCCCTCAACTTTCAACCGCATCTCTGAACGATATCTGCCAAACCGAAAATCGTACATCTCACATACCCTCCTCCATACCGACATTCCTCCACCAAGGCTTACCATCCTCTCCACTAGCCTTGTCAGCAAACATATCTGCCGCATCGCCCACCTGTCTCCTCTCACTAATCTCCCTGCTGACCTGACCCGACAGCTTGAGCTTCATCGCCTTGCTCGCCAGGAAAGGGTTATACTTTCGCGAACCGTTACTTTGCGCCATTCCTCGGGATGACCGGATGAGTTCGCTCGACGTCCATCCGCCCCTCATGACGGGTAATTGCTATTGCAGAGGTTCTGAGGAGGAGGAGAGGCGGTTGAGGTGGAGGTA